TTCCAAGTTCTTTGTCAGTCTATGTTTGTTTCATCTTCCTCTCCTTTCAAGTCTTTTAGGAAGGCAATAGGAGGCGGCAGCTTGCTGTCTTCTCAGTAATTTACACAGTGATCTGACATCTACCACAGCCCAAGCCTGAAAGACAGTCTCATGCCACTGTCTATTTGTGGCTGGACGTCCTGGGTAGATTGCTTGTTGGAACTCTCAAGAGAGAGAATCTGATTGACATTTGTTTGAACCTGACCACACAAATTACTGGTTAGCCAGCATATTGGTCGCCGTTGTTTCTGACTGTTAGTCATTCCATGTCTGGTCAGCACTGCAAGTCATGTGAGAACCATGCAGTCTGTAATTCTGTCCTTTTTCTGGAATTATGAGCATCCAAGAATCCATCATAAAATATAAATAGCAGAATGTCTCGGTATCTGTGTACATGTGTACATTTATTTCATCTCATGGAGTCCAAGGTCCCACATATCATGTTACATCCCAAACTGAAATTATGATCTCTCCACCCCCACCCTCCTTCTCTGTCCATGACTGTGATCTCAGTGGGTGGCACCATCAACCCTGTGGTTATCCAAATATAATGAGTGTTTTGCCCTTCAGTCCTTCTTCTACTCCATCCCTTATATCTAAATAAACATCAAGTCTTATTGATTTTACTTCCCAAATATCTCTTGAGTCCATCCCACTCTATGTAAGCCTTCAGCACTATCTTGGATCAGGTAATTTTATTCTTGACCAGTTTACCCTATCAACCTTCTAACTGATCTCCCTTAATTCATCTTTCTCCTTCCAAATACTTCCCATAGAGCATTGAAACAAATCCGATTATGTGACCCCCTGCTTAAAACCTTTCAGTAGCATTCCACTGTTCCAACCCCTCTGTGATGTGACTTCTGCCTACTTCTCCAGCCTCCCTGTTTGACTTCACTCTTAGATAGATTCTTTCTGGATAATTTTTCAGCTCCCAGAACCCGTTTTCTACTTCTTTAGTTGTGTCATACCCAACACCTCTCCAGGAGTCCCTTCTTGGCCTGCCTTCAACTGAATTAGTATGTGTTCTGTGTATTCCTGTAAGGAACTTATCTTTCTGTATTGCAAGTGCCTATTCCCTTGCTTGTCTGTGTCTCGTGAACTTTTTTAGGTGGATGTGGTGGTAAATGCCTATAATCCCAGTACACAGGAATTCCACAAAGGCAAAAGGGATCAAGAATTCAAGGTCATCACCTGCCACATAGCAACTTCAAGACCACTCTGGGCTACATCAAACCTTGTCTCAAGAGAGAGATTAATTACATAGAAAAGTGTCTTTTTATCATTGTACTTGACTCATGCTATTCAATGTTGTAAAATAAAATGTATATATTCATGTACACATATATGTATTACCTGCCCCATATAGGTACCTCTAACACCTGTGTAGGACCTTCTTTATCTTTTTTTTTCTATGAAAGATACAAATTGCCTGGTGGTGGTGCCAAATGCTTTTAATCCAGCACTCGGGAGGCAGAGACAGGAGGATTTCTCTGAGTCCGAGGCCAGCCTGGTTTACAGAGTGAGTTCCAAAACTACACAGAGAAACCCTGTCTCAAAAAAAACAAAAAAGAAAGATACAAATTGTATGTCCTTGGCTCATCACTAAAGTCTTCCCAATGTTAAGAAAAAAGTAAAGAAGAAACAACACTTTTATTTACTTATAAGGACATGTGTCTAAAATATATTAAGTGTCTTATCTGTTAGCAAGTAGTTGTGGTTGGTTCCTGTTAGGAAAACCCCATAGTTGGAAAGTAGGTCCCCATCTCTGGTAGCAGAGAAAGGACTAGAAGTATCGTGCTCTAGAGAAAGATGTGAGGCGAGTGGTGAAATCTGAGAACTGACATTGTTAGGAAGACGGTGAAGAGCCTGTAACTGCCACTTGGACACAAGGGAGGGGGTGACTTTTTGTTCCGACCATTAACGTAGGTATTATGGTCCTTAAGTGGTGATTTATAATGTTCCTAATGGCAGTGAACATAGCTGGGGCCTGGTGAAGATTAGATACAACACAGCGGGCTCAGTAAGCAGCTAAAAAATCATTGGCCAGGGAAAAGTTAGGTACAGGATGACCTGATTTTCTAGGGAACAGCATGACAAGGTAGACCAAGCAGAGGGAGGAAATCAAGGGCCAGGGTGGATGACAGAATAAATACAGAATGGATTAAGTGGCAGCCGCCTGTGCAGAGTGAAATCCGTCCATCTGACAGCACTATCCCAGCTATCTGCGGCACCACTCAGAGCCTCCCCACCTAATCAATAAGACCACTGCTGGTATTGTTGTTATTTTACTATTATTTTAGTGCCAGGAAATCAGAGCATAGTAGTAACAAAAGTGCTTCACATACAGGGAGTAGATAGCTTCAGGAAAAAAAGACATTAATTAAATTAGGTTATATCCAGAAAACCCAAACCATTGGCAGGTGCATGGTGACAGATACACCCCTCCATTTGCATTATCAGTTTTCCAGAAAGGAAAAGAAAAGTGACACCAAAAGCAAATGACTTACCAATGACAGCCTTGCCTACAGGCTGAAGTTCCTTTGCTCAGTCCAAGACTTAGGGCTGGATTAAAAGCTCCCTAAATGCTGACAGAACAGTTCTACAGATAAACATGTATTCATGTAATTGATCTAACAGTGAGTAAATTTAAGACCTGTGTCTCTCAGCGTTGCGCCCAAAGCCACTTCCTGCCAGGACTGATACTACATTCCCTCATATCCGATCTGCTCTGTCTGTCTCTGTTGTGGTCACCAGCCCACCCCTACCAGTCTTCACCATCCCCTTTGCTCTTCAGATTACTGCAAAGAGCTGCCAGCCAGCCTCTGCCTACTCTCCTGTCCCTTTGTGATAGCATGATATATATGTTTTGCTTTCCAACCACAGATCCTGGATCACAACTCCCATAATAACCCTCGTTGTTTTCCTGAATGACTAGGACAATGAGCATGTGTTCTGTTGAAGCATAATAATTGGTGTCTCATCCTTAGTGGCTGAAGTGCTTTCAGAGCAATAAAAATGAAAAACAGCCCTTTCCTTACAGCATAGAAGGTAGTTTGGGACCCCAGGAGGGGACCACAGAGCAGTCTCTTTCTCTCTAACCTACTCCTTTTTCTCTGCAAGGCGGGCCACGAAAGTTAGAATTTCTCTTCCCCAAAGACAATCATAGGCCTTTCTGCCTTGGAATTGGCCACGTAGAAATTTTCTAACAGCCGGTAGGTAATGTGGTATTCTCTTTGAAAGGGCCCTGCCCTAAGCCCTGGATGAAGGAATGCTGCATAGTGAAGCCAAAGAGATTCTGAACACACATCCTTACCAGGTTCCTAAGTATGTTTGTTAGCATTAGCTCCTACCGTCTGTGCCCACACTGGCATCCATATTTTAGTACTACTTATCCAAAGAAATCTTTACAAAACCCCAAAGGATCAGGCCAGGAAAACTCATCGACTGATCACATGGAGGCTTACAAGGTGAGCAAGAGTTCACTTAGGTGATGAGACGGCAGCCCATCCCAACTCCAGGATGAGATCTCGTGCTCAGGATGCTTCTCAGCTTTTATCCCATGTCTCTCTTCATCTGGCTACATATTTGTAGCCTTTAAAATATTTTTACAACAAAGCAGCAAATGTCTTTCCCTGAGTTCCTTGAGTTCTTTGAGCCCCTCTAGCAAAATTAATCAATACAAAGGAGGGATCATGAGAACCTCAATCCATAGCCGGTCGATCAGAAGTTCCAAAGACCCAAGCTTGCAGCTGGTACCTCATCTGGGTACAGTCTTGGGGCATGAGCCCAGAGTTTAGGAGATGTGCTATCGACAGACTGACAGCGTTGAAACTGAACTGACTTACAGGACTTCCCTCTAGCATCTACTCCAGGAGTGATTGCTGTTGGCCAGTGGAGGCAAAACCCCCACACATTCATAGAAGGATATGTGTTGTGACCAGACATAGGTGAAACTGAGTTTAAGGTTTGTTTTCCTCTACCCTATCAGACCCCTACAATTCATTCTCCCCACACAACAGATTCTTGTATTTGTAACTCATTCAGAACTATGTTTTGGGGGGAGGGCTCTGTAGAGATGGCTCAACTATTAAGAGCATGTACAGCTCTTACAGAGGACTTGAGTTCAGTTCCCAACACCAACATCAGGCAGCTCACAACTGCTTGTTACTTCAGCTTTATTCTGGACTCCATAAGCACTGCTTTCATGAGCACACATCATCCTCATGCACACAACACACGCACGCACACACATACACACTCACACACACACACACTCACTCAATTAGAAATAAAAGAACATGTAAACAAGGAAAAGGCCTTCAAATATGTATTAGGGAGAATCTGAAACCACAATTACTTGTTTTTTCTTTTTTCACAATATGTCAAAGAAAATCTCAGGCATCATAATATATCCCTGCATTTTGTATCTCCAGCTTCTACAGGCTTTAACCTAGAAATCATGGTATTCTTGCACCTAACAAAATAAATAATAATATTATTGAGTTGCTGGGTTTGTTCCAAAGATGTTTTTGAAAGGATATAGATGAGATGGGACACAGCGCTTGCTCTCCTCCCTCAGGCTCTTTTATTCTGAACAGCTGTCCTCCTGTGTGTTCGCGTCATTGTTCTCTTTGAAATATCAACTGAGATTCTTCTTGTGATTCATAAATGTGATGATTGAGTTTTTGTGTCACCATAAGGGATAGTCTTCTCTCAAACCATGTTACAACAGCAGGACATTACTTGTCTGACATGTTAAAAAGGAAAGAAATAAAATACAAATCAGTTCTGGTCAGTCTAGGCTTAACCACCGCCCCCCCAATAGACTCTTATTCTTGCAGACAGCTTAAAAACCAAACTCTCACCACACCCTAGGCCCCTCCTGATGGCTCCTGGCTACTTCTCAAAGGCTCTCCAGCACAATCCATCCCAAACCTGTTTTTACCCAGGATTCTGCACTTGCCTTTCCAGCTGCCCAGAAAGCTTTATCCTCTCCACAGCTTGTAGAAGTGGCGTCATGCCCAGGTGCCTGGTAGGAGACAGATGACTTCCCTGATGACCTGTTATAAATGAGCTCTTCTTCCCCTGGGCTGCCCTCCACCACACCATCTTGTTCCCATTTCTTCGTGGAGTTTATTACTGTCTGAAATTACATTCTCCTTAATGCATTTGCTGCCCTGTGTAATGGGATGTTAGAATACAAGTTCCTTGGCCAAACACTGAAGAAATAAATGTGAACTATCAAGGCTAGGTAACCATCTATAAAAGTCTACAAAGGAAATGGTCATGAATCCTTCCCTGATTATTGGTGCCTTCAGCTAGATCAAAAACTGCAGGAAAACAAAGGGGGTGTTTTGGAAGGAGCTGTTACTGTTCTGAGAGGCAGGTGGTATTGAAGAGGCAGGGCCATTTAGAGACCTTACAATCTGCTTCCTCCACGGTTAGTAAGATGGGAGATGCGCATCAGATATGAGACTGTATTTGAGTCTTGCCGGAGAAGACTAAAGTGGGCATCCTGGGAAAACGGGAGAGCTCAGTCTGCAGCTACAAAGCCTGCTGTGCTAAGAGATGTTTGAGTATTTGCCATCATGCAGACTGTCTCAGCCTATTTGGGGGCCATTAGATCTGAATACTTGAGACTAAGAAGTCAATAAAAAACAAAACTTTGGTCTCAATGTGGTGGAAGCTGGGAAGCTGAAGATCAAAGTGCTGGCAGGTTTGGGTATGTCATGAGTATCCAGTCTCTACTATTCACGGGACACCTTGAATACAGCACACTTTGGAGGATGGAGAGGGAGAAAGGCTACTATTTTGCACATGGCAGGAGAACCAGCTAAACAGAGGGCCTGTTCCCACAAGTCCATCTCATAGCAGCACTAATCTTGTTATGGGGCAGAGCTAACACCTAAATCCTCCCTCAAGTCCACCTCTCATGCCTGCAGAACTGAGGATAAAATTTCCAACGTATAAAGTTGGGATACACACAAACTACACCCTGAGCCATGCAAGAATTATCAGGGAAGGATTGCTGGGTTCTGGGTTCCTAGAGGTGCAACGACCCCAGCTAAGACCTTCTTCCTATAAGCTGAGGAAGAGCAAGCGTCACTCACCAGAAGCATACACAGAGACTCAGCCTGGACCATCTGAGGAAGAGCAAGCGTCACTCACCAGAAGCATACACAGAGACTCAGCCTGGACCATCTGAGGAAGAGCAAGCGTCACTCACCAGAAGCATACACAGAGACTCAGCCTGGACCATCTGAGGAAGAGCAAGCGTCACTCACCAGAAGCATACACAGAGACTCAGCCTGGACCATCTGAGGAAGAGCAAGCGTCACTCACCAGAAGCATACACAGAGACTCAGCCTGGACCATCTGAGGAAGAGCAAGCGTCACTCACCAGAAGCATACACAGAGACTCAGCCTGGACCATCTGAGGAAGAGCAAGGGTCACTCACCAGAAGCATACACAGAGACTCAGCCTGGACCATCTGAGGTAGAGCAAGCGTCACTCACCAGAAGCATACACAGAGACTCAGCCTGGACCATCTGAGGAAGAGCAAGCGTCACTCACCAGAAGCATACACAGAGACTCAGCCTGGACCATCTGAGGCCCCAGACACAAAGAACAGCACATATCCTCTCCACTCTCCACACATATATGAACTCCACCCTCTATAGGAAGTAAAGTACCAGCCAGGGAGAGGGGCAGATAAGAAGGAGGTAAACAAAAGGAAGCAGAAGCTGGCTATATTTGCATTCCAAGAGTCCAAAGGTGATCTACAAGACACCATAATTCAAAGGTGCTGACTCAACCTCTGGATAGAATTGAAGGATCTTTTTAAATATATAATCCTTTTCAGAGTTCCAGCAGTGCAATATGTGTGTGTGTGTGTGTGTGTGTGTGGTGTGTGTGTATAAATCCCTTTATCCCTTTTGCTTTATTTTATTTTATGCTTTAGATTTTTTGACAGGGTCCCAGGTTATCCTACGCTGGTCTGTAACTCACTGTATAGCCAGAGATGACCTTGAATGGCTGATTCTCCTGTCTCCACTTCCCAAGTGCTGAGGTTACAGGTGTACATCAGGATGTTTGGTTGGTATGCAGGGCTGGGGATTCAATCCAGGGCTTTCCTGAATGCTAGGCATGCACTCTACCAAATAGGCTGCATCCCCAGCCCCAAACTGAAGCATGTGATTAATGCTTCTCTCTGATCATTTGGTTTTTTAATCTTTATTTTATTTTACGCACGTGGGAGGGGGGTAAGTGCCAATGGAGGCCAGAAGAGGGCGACACATCCCCAGAAGCTGCTGCTATAGGTTATTGTGAGTAAACTGGAGCGTGCTGGCACCCAATCTCTGGTCTTCCGGAAGATCGGTAAGCGTTCTTAACCACTGAGCCATCTCTCCAGCCCCTCACTTCAGTTTTTAAACTGAGGCCCTTTCACCAATTTAAAGTGACCAAAGAATTGTCTATCATCTACAAAATAGGCAGGACAGTCTCAGGATCTGCCCACGTTTCTCTTGCAGTAACAGATTGCTGTCTGACATCAAACAGGCAGTAAAAACTGAAAGCAAGTTCTGTTTTGATGTCATACAAGTGCTTAGCCTGACAGCTGGTCTCTGCCTACTAGCTTATGGGCCTCCCCAGACTGGAATCTGTCACCTTGACGTTGCATCACCAAAGCTAGAATGGTCTCAAATCCCACAGAGATTTTAAGGCATCAGGGTGCTGGAGAGATGGCTCGGCGGTCAAGAGCACTGGTTGCTTGCTCTTCCAGAAGACAAGGGTTCAATTCCTAGTACCTACATGGTAGCTCACAATTGCCTGTAACTCCAGTTTCAGGGGCTCCGACATCCTCACACACACATACATGAAGGCCAAAACCAGTGCACATAAAATAAGGATAAATAAATCATTTTAAAATACTTAAAAAGAAGAAAATGTAACAAAAGAATTTAAGATATCATCCTGATTGTTCAGGAGACTAATTGTTATATTTTGAGGTTCATTGAAAGTTACTAGGATAGTTGACTCAGATAAGTTGCCATGACAATACCCCATCCTTTGATTGGGTTAACAGAAAACTATATTTCTTGCCCATGAAAGATCCAAAAGTAACATTCCCTAGCTCTTCTCCACCAGCAGTGGCTCAGGGGTCCAGGTTCCATCTATCAGTGTTGTTATAGGTATCATGTGGTTTCCAAGATTCCTGGAGAAGAAGGCATGACTGAAATTCATCTCCAGCTCAGAAATAACATAGTACCCATTTTTGCTTACATTGTTTCAGTCAGGCCTAGTCTTTTAAACCCAAAAAGAGAGAATTTGGAGTATTTTGGTGTTTGGCTAGATAGCTCCAATCTCACAGTACTTCTAATGGTGGAACCAGAGCATCCTGCATGGAAAACTGCAGAGGTAACTCATTGGCTAAGTGCTCTTACAGACGACCTGAGTTGGATTCCTAGCACATCAGGTGGATCACAACTGCCTGTAACTCCAGTTCCAGGTGAACCAATGTCATCTTCTGGCCTCTGCAGGCACTGTACTCATGTACACAAACCCATACTCAGACAGAGACGTACACATACAATTTAAAAATAAAACATTTATAAAAAATAAAAATACATTCTCCAGTAGAACTGAACCCAGACCATGGATTTCTGCTGACCCCAAACTCATCTCTCTGGTGCCAGCTGTTACTTAGTGTGCCTCCCACAAAAGAGTCTACCATCTATAAAATCCCTGGTATTTCACCAGAGGTCTTTGGACCAAACACCCACCTGCTATATCAGTAAGGACGTCCATGCTCACTCTGTAAGGCAAAAAGATCATATCCCCTGGCATAGCTGGTCTCGCAACCAAGCACTGACTCTACTTGGCAGCTTTGCTTTTACTCCTGTCCCAAGCCTCCAGGATCCCTGGTCCCTTCATCACTGTTTAGAGAAAGAATTGGGTTCTGGAGCTGGCTGATGACTTGCCCAAGGTCACACAGCTTGTCAGGTGCAGAGCTGGGGCCAGAGCCCATTCTCATGTCAGCCTTTGCATCACACATGCTCAGAATTTCCACAAACTGGTTGCTAACCCTGCCGCTGAATCCCCAGCCACCTGCTGTTCTACTCAATCCTAGTTTCCATGTTCACCCTCTCTGGCTCCTGCCTGTGCTTTCTGGTTCCCACTCATCAATCAGACCCTTACACCAAAGCTGTTTTCCAAACCTTTTCTGACCAGAGAATCTAGATTCAGGGAACAGGAGACGGTTCTGGGAATGCCTGGCTGCCTAGGGGTGTACCATGGGAGGGTGTTTGTTCACCACTCCTCACAGCTTTGTCAATTCAATATTTAACAGTTCAAGACCAAGTAAGAGATCTCCCTTGGGAATAGCTCGAGTTAGCCAGAGGGTACTGCCGTGTTTAGCTACCACAGAAAATCTGTTAGATAGGCTCACCTACCCAGGGTAAGAAATTTGAGTGATTATATGTGGCCGGAAAAGTTCTTCAGTGAATAGAGACCCCTAGCAGTACTAGATGCTTCTCCGCATCTTAGTACATCTCTCTGCTGCATGGTTTGAGGACCTCTTATCAGAAGCAGCCGAGCTCAGGACATCTCAATGGCAAGTGACTTGGTTCCTTCTTCAAAACTAGAAGCTGGGGTGTGACTCAGAGGTAGAGTGCTTCTTTAGTGTGTGTAAGGCCCTATGTTCAAACCCTGTAAAACAGAAAGAAAAAAATCAGTATTTAGTCAGGAATCATATGTGTTTTCCCCTGTCACACTCCAATTTTTGTTTTTGTATAATCCTTTTGTTTTTACTGTTATCATTGTTGTAATGAGAGCAATATTTGGAAAAATGATTAATGTGCTTTTCTCTTACCTTTCAGTGGATGTGACCTTTTTCCCATGCTTGGTCCCAAGTAACCATCTATCTGGGGAAAGATTAAGTTGTTACAGAATGATGAAAAAAGAAATAAGAAGTTAATATTCTGCTATTGACATTTAAAGTGAGATTTCTCCGAAAGGCACTGATCTTTATTTAAATCCAGCCTATTAACCTGAGAGGGGGAGAATTGAGATTGGCTAAAACAACAGACTAAGAAGTGCAGCATCCAGACTTGATCCAGGGTCTGCCACTTGCTAGTGTGTGACTTTAGTTTCTCTAAGACTCAGTCTCCTCATCTGTGAAATAGGAGAAGTAGAAGTACCGAGCCCAAAGGGTAGTTAGAAAACAGCTAACCCACATGAAGCATGCATTCAACAAACACTCGTTAACTTTCTTCTAGATGCCAGTGTTGTGATGTTTAGAAAGAGTATCAAGAACATGGTAAATATTCCACACAGATGACCCTTTCCAGATTCCTGTTCCTTGCCCCTTAGTGTATCAAGCAGCAGCTCTTCAAGCACTGAGGAAGCTAAGTCTACAGTAGATGCTGTAACAGCTGAGCATCCAGTTGATGAGACCTAGAATCTTGATGAGGTCACTGAAGCCGGAAGACCCATCATCAGCCGTGCTTGTGGCTCCGCTCCCTGAAGTGGGAAAAGGTGAGCGGAGCATTCACTATTCTCTAGTGCGTGTGACCAACTGCCAGGTTTCCTCACCATGCTGGACTGACTGGACCTTGAAGTTGCTTTTGTCAGGGTATTTTATCACAGCAGCAGGAATGTAACCAATACAAAGGAGGATGTGAGGAAAGCCTTTCCTTTCAGCCCAGAGGGACTGTAGGAAAACTGAGGGAAAAAAGGGGCAAAAAAACACTACTCTCCCATCATATACATCAGACACATAAAACATACACCCCATGATATATCATATACACACACAATCATACACAGATACCACACACACCATGCCCATATGCCACAACATATCATATATGCATACCACCATATACACATACCACATACCTCACTCATTGTACACATATCACAGTTAACATATACCATATACATACCATACACCACACATGCACATACTATGCCAAACAAACATGTCATAAACTACACATGTACATTCCATGCACACATACCAGCATAACACATACCTACCATATGCTACACATACCATATATATACAGGCATGTACCACATACCAAACTACAAATCACACACACACACACACACACACACACACACATGCACACACGTACGCACGCACACACAATCTCATCCTACATACTGTTGAAACTAAACTTCTGAAATAACCGGAAAATGGAAAGTACTGAGGACGCTGAAACCTCATTTGACAAAACCTGGACATGAGGACCACACAGCCTGCCAAGCGGGAGGGTCTGGTCAGCTTTCTTGCTCTTCTCTCATTCCAGACCCTTCCTGAGCTGCAGCAAAGAAGAAGACCACAAGCAGAACCAGGACATGGGAACCAGTTGAAAATTCACAAGCTCCCCCACCCAGCCAGAGACACTATGAAACCTGCCAGCAGGTAATATAAGGCTAGGAGAGACCAGATCACAAGTCCCTCTAGCTGTCAGCTTCAGCAGTGCATGCAATGGCCAGGATAGTGACCCAAGATGAAGCCCAGAGGGCTGGAGAAGCAAGCATTTCTACACAGAAAGGTTGGCTGTATCCTACAGGTGTTGCTTAGATTGTTGTCTTGTGAACTGATCTAGATTTTACTGCCGGCTACCCTGAGGCTAGAGAGAAACTAGAGATTCTAATAGTCTGTGGATCTCCAAGGTATGAGTTGTATGGCCTTGACACAGCTTATACTGCTATTTTATTATTATTATATACAATCCTCCATGGAGTTCCTCCATTTCCAGCAATTGTCCTTTCTACCCACAGAGCTGTCTGATAGAGACCAATGCCCCCCTTCCTCCACTGTAGCCCATGGATGATTGCCCCAGAGTGGACATGTGACAAAAGCTGAAGCTATTAGAACATCTAAAAATTTGAGTTGTTTGTTTATAACACACATTTTTTTACCTTTTTCCATTGCAGAGATTCCCACACTGGGGCAGCAGCTCCCTGCAGAGTCTCCCACCACCCTAAATGCAAGTACAAATGTGAACATCCTATATGCCAATGACCATTCTATGCCATGCACTATTTTCACCTAACTGGCTAAATTGTCACTAGGGTTACTAAAAGTTAGAATATGCAAAGGAAAATGATCATTGTGAAAAGTCTCCTAAGAACTCTAATTTGCTCTTCTGCTAAGGCCACAGCTGGTGATGAGATGGCACTCCTGTGTGCAGACTCACATATAGCTGGAACTCCTACAGTTTGGGGTAATGGCGCATTATTGTCAGTGCTTTAAACAGCATTGCTTTGAGTTGACTGTAGGCTTTGATAGGTTAATGACACTGGCCTTTAATTAAAATTTACATTTACTATAAATCTAGCTTCATGCTTATTTACCCTTATAATTACGTTTTATTTGTTATGGTTGTGCATTGTGACCTTTGGGCCTATAATTTGTTAATAGCCAGACTTTGAAACTTTTATGTTTCAAATAAGGATCAGCCTGCCTCATTAATGCATGTGTGTATACATCCCTCCCTGCAATTGGATTAATACAGTGATAAAATGTAACATCGAAGTTTTTTTCACCTCTGAAATTTGGGGCGACTGAAAGGTCTCAAGTTTGTGCTATTCTTCAGTGGGTCACAATGGAAACCCTAAGGCCCCTATTCTAGAGGGAGGACCTACATGCCTGAACAGGAAGATACGCCTCAACTGACTTCCCTCTTGCAGACACCTCACTAGTCATAATAACGATGCTGCAGTCAAATGCATGATGATGGGCCCATATGGCTATAGTGGAGCTGAAAAATTCTTTTTGCATTGGGTGAAGGTCGATCTCCATTGCCAACTTGATTGGATCTGGAAGCAACTAAAAGACAGGCTGTGTGACAAGAGATCTTCTTTATCAGGTTGTGTGAAGTGGGAAGACCCATTCTAAATGTGGCAGCTTGAATAGCAGAAGGCCCAAAGAAAAACAATGTTTGCTTGCTTGCTTTGTGTCTTTTTGAGGTTGGTTTTTGTTTTTTTGTTTGTTTTTTTGAGACAGGATTTCTATGTGGAGCCTGTCCTGGAACTCACTTTGTAGACCAGGCTGGCCTCTAGCTTACAGAAATCCACCTGCCTCCACCTCCCCAGTGCTGGGATTGAAGGCATGCGCGGCCACCACCTGGCTTGCCTGAATCTTGCTGCCAGTTTATTTACTCGGGTGCTGCTGCTACATTCCTTTGCTCACAGCAGTACCCACTTTGGGATCCAGCATGGACTGAAGACTGGTGACTCTCCAGGCATCCTCCGGGCCTTCAACACCAGGCTGGTACTGCTGAAGCATCAGTCTCATTGCCCAAGCGGCTATCAGGTTCTCAGCCTACCTAGTGTGAAGACAGCCAGTATTGAACTATTCAGACCACAATGTGTAAGCAGATCGATAAATCCTCCTTTATTATGCATTCATTCAATATCAGTGAACCGTCTTCCTCTTTTAAAAATGCATTCATCCCATCTTTTCCTCTAGAAAACCCTGACTAATACACACTAAATATTAGAATTACACCTGTAGTCCTGCCTTCTCCCAGACATGGGCAGGCCCCTACTGAGGGTGTGTCTGTGAATCTCCAGGTTTCTGGATTTCTCACCTGAAAAGTGAGTGTGCATCGAAAGGAGTAATGGTGGCCACATGTTCCGCTCCCCCACCCTCTTCCCGGCCTCCTGTTTGGGAAACAGAAAGGCTGACTGCAGGCTCCTGCTGTGAAACACATCCTCCCCTCCCACAAGAAAGCTGTGAGTCCCCAGCACATTATCTTTCTGTGGTGCTAGGGCCAGAATTCTCCTTAGAGCCCCTGCCATACTGTTTTCTGTCAGTCTGTAGTGTTGGTAACTCTTTTAATAAATTCCTTACCCCCAACTATCAATCTAGATGTCCCTCTCCAACCTGAATCTAAGACCTTTCATGCACAGTGACGTTGTGATGCCATAGTTCAACTCAATACTCATGCATGTGTGGTGTAAAGTCTCCTGCTGTGTTGTTGGTCATATACAAGTGTGGTGCAGTCAGTTATGTTCAGTACAGTGCACTTGATAATGATAATAAATGACTGTCACTGGTTGGGGTACTTACTATGTCAACTATACATGATACAGGAGTGAGGAAGGAGTCAAGGCTAGGAGGACTCTGCAAAGCGAGTAGGGAGTAAGTGGGACAAATGGATAGAGGGGAGTTGGAGGCATTTTGCTGTGTGCAGAAACTAAAAAAGAGTGGCCAGCTATACTCAGTGTCAGCCAGGGCCCCACCATTTCGTGAGGCTCCTCAATTTTGGTTGAACTGTAACAATTTCTGAAACTGCAGCAATTTTGTTTTCAGAACTAAAGGAACTTACTTTTCTAGTTTCCTGCTTGCCCATGCTCATATCTGATTCAGAGAGGCCTTACTGCAAGCACGTGCTGTGGACCACTCGTTAGCGCTGCAGCAGAGAGCCATGCACTGAGGACCACTCGTTAGCGCCGCAGCCCAGAGCCATGCACTGAGGACTACTCGTTAACGCTGCAGCAGAGAGCCATGCACTGAGGACTACTCGTTAACGCTGCAGCAGAGAGCCATGCACTGAGGACCACTCACTAACACTGCAGCAGAGAGCCATGCACTGAGGACTACTCACTAACGCTGCAGCAGAGAGCCATGCACTGAGGACTACTCGTTAACGCTGCAGCAGAGAGCCATGCACTGAGGACCACTCACTAACACTGCAGCAGAGAGCCATGCACTGAGGACTACTCACTAACACTGCAGCACAGAGCCATGCACTGAGGACCACTCGTTAACACTGCAGCAGAGAGCCATGCACTGAGGACCACTCACTAACACTGCAGCAGAGAGCCATGCACTGAGGACTACTCACTAACACTGCAGCACAGAGCCATGCACTGAGGACCACTCGTTAACGCTGCAGCAGAGAGCCATGCACTGAGGACCACTCCTTAGCCCTGCAGCCCAGAGCCATGCACTGAGGACCACTCACTAACGCTGCAGCAGAGAGCCATGCACTGAGGACTACTCGTTAACGCTGCAGCAGAGAGCCATGCACTGAGGACTACTCACTAACACTGCAGCAGAGAGTCATGCACTGAGGACTACTCACTAACGCTGCAGCAGAGAGCCATGCACTGAGGACTACTCGTTAACGCTGCAGCAGAGAGCCATGCACTGAGGACTACTCACTAACGCTGCAGCAGAGAGCCATGCACTGAGGACCACTCCTTAGCCCTGCAGCCCAGAGCCATGCACTGAGGACTACTCACTAACACTGCAGCAGAGAGCCATGCACTGAGGACTACTCACTAACGCTGCAGCAGAGAGCCATGCACTGAGGACCACTCCTTAGCCCTGCAGCCCAGAGCCATGCACTGAGGACCACTCACTAACACTGCAGCAGAGAGCCATGCACTGAGGACTACTCACTAACGCTGCAGCAGAGAGCCATGCACTGAGGACCACTCGTTAACACTGCAGCACAGAGCCATGCACTGAGGACTACTCGTTAACACTGCAGCAGAGAGCCATGCACTGAGGACCACTCGTTAACGCTGCAGCACAGAGCCATGCACTGAGGACTACTCGTTAACGCTGCAGCACAGAGCCATGCACTGAGGACTACTCACTAACGCTGCAGCAGAGAGCCATGCACTGAGGACCACTCGTTAGCGCCGCAGCACAGAGCCTCTTCCCTTCTTCTGCAAAGGGGACCTTGGTTGTTGTTTTGCGGCAGCTACAGGTGATGAAACACAAAAC